TCTCCGCCTCGATTACGTGGTCCCTGGTGCCTGCGGATGATCATGCCTCCGCAGTTGATCTTGGTTAGAGTATAATGACTTCGGAATTCCACGCTGTGAATTCTTTATGTCAATCTTGATACGATTGTTGGAGTTCGTTACACTTGGTCAATATCGTTGAACTTGTGTGAACCTAATTACTATTAAAGAGGATTCCTATGATATCTTTGATTAAATTGGAATTTAATTGTCAATTTTAGTGGTTGATAATTTCGATTATGTTTTTATCTTTTTTAATACGTTTAACAATTCTTTTTTTATTTTTTTGTTCATATTATTATTATACGAAGGAAGCCGAGGTTTATTATGGTGATATATAGTGATATATGAGCCGTTCACTGCACAAATCGATTAACTCTACTTTTTGAAAAATCTTAAATTTAAGTGTCAAAGCACTTGGTATAGTCATAACTTTTTATATTTATAATAACTTTCCCTGATAATTAAGATTAACACCATTAAACGACAAAAATTTGTTGGCCACTGAATAATAAATAATTTATTTCAGAGGTCACTTTGATTAACTCCGTACTCTAATGTAAATCGTTGCAATAATGCAACTCAAATGCACTAGCAAGCCATGAACGATAACGGTGAATTTTTTAGCGCCGTCTTATCAGAATTTAAGTAAAATTTAGTAAAATTTAAATTTATTACTTTTTTCACTTGCCAAATCGATTAATTCTTCCAGTACCATAAAAATGGTAACATTACTAACGATTACCTTTTGGCTATTTTTTCTTATAAATTTTATGTACCGTTAGATGAAAGTTACATTTGTATTTATGCATTCTACGATATTTATTTCGATTTAAATTATAAAGGGAATTTTAAAAAACAATATCCATTATTTCATTGCATTTCTCCACTTTTTGTTTTATGGAATTAATCAATTTGTGCAGTGAACGGCTCATATAGTGATAGCACCTTGGGTGTGCAATAATCAAACATTATGTGTTTACGTTATACTACGTGGTGTTGCCTTCTGTTCCTGTTCTGATGCATTCTGAGTAACGTCTGATATGTTGTCTTCGAGTTCTAAGTGACTTTTAATGTGTTGTCTTCGAGTTCTGTGTGACTTCTGATGTGTTCCTACCGAGTTCTGTTTTGCTTCGGTGGGTTTGCACACGTAGGTCCAATCAATTGGGTCTGGTAGTAGATTGTAGGGTTATATGTAGTCTCTGATAATTTTTCATAATTTTACGATATCTTAAAGTTAAAAAATTGAAAGTACTAAATCGAAATCCACTTTACTCTCATACACAAATACTTCAAAACCCATAAAAACAAACTCGAAGAAAAAGGTCTTTCTAAATTCCATTTTACAGTAAATTTAAAGAGAAAAGGAAACGCGTTTACGTCTCAATAATATCAAATCCACGTGCAAAAAGGTGACATCATTATTTGACAGAGGAGAACCATGAACCCGGAGGATCGAGTTTCGAAGACATCAGAGTTTCCGGTTTTATTAGTTAATTTTATTTTGTCCGTTTTATGGCCTGCACGCCACTGAATTTCTCGTAATTCCATACCGACATAAAAATACTTCGACACGTTGGCTCCCTTATACCTGGTGGTCATTCTAATTTTACACGAACGGTCTACGTGACCAACGGGGATCACGGCCATAAATGCCACGGACTTCAGAACTGCCAGAAATTCGCCGTGCCGGAAGGAAGTTGGCATGAACTTCGTCGCATCGAATTATCCACGTGTGTCTAACTCGTCTGTCGAAAATATTACATTTGTTTCAGGAAATTTTTGGCTGATTTAACAAAGGGGTTTCTCGATGGAATAGCAGACATCGTTTGTACATGTATTGGAATTTTTTAGAAAGTCTTGTTGGAAAGATTACACTAAAATAACGACAGGAATATAATTTTGATTTAAAGGGGTGATTTCATCCCTTGCACTGTGATTCGATTATGAAAAATTCTGTACCGAGGAAGAATTTAATTTTAATTTGTTATATATGCATTTCCTTTAAAATAATATTATTAAAATAATTTTGATTATTTTAAGTATCACATTATAATTATATTTTAATATTTTATCGAATTAATTATTTTGACTGTTTTAGTTTTATTATTGTTAATCACTATTAAAAGTTATTAAGATTTATATAAAGTTTTTATATACTAAAATATGTTAAACATAATTCACAGCAATGCGAGTGGTTAATTATTAGTATAGTATTTATCGTGTGAGCTATGTCGATAATTCTAGAAATACTAAAAATGAAATAATACTGCAATAAGAGTCTTTACTATCATACTCTAAATACATTTATGAGAAATAAGGTTTGAATAAATTTTATTGCGAACTCTTTTCTATTCTGGTTACTCCTTGCCTTCTTTTCATTTCGTACATTCCATGCCATTACTGCCAACCTAACATTCTGTTTCTTAGTTCATCGCACATAACCTACATTTGTCATCCACTTCCTCTTATGACTGTTACACATTCATATCTCACTCATTCAATAAAACAACCACACAGTATACCCAGAGTGATCTTCTCGTCTAAGATACTCGAAAAGAGGAAAAATATCGTACACACAATATCAGGAAATACGTGAATGAAGAGTATTGGTTTTTCTATATTTCATATTTTTGTACATTTTATATTTTTCTGTCATTTATTCTTCTCTTTATTTTATATTCCTTTCTGATTTATTTCTCCCTTTATTTTATATTTTTCTATATTTTTCTATATAACGTTGAGTAGTCATTGAGTAGTCATAGATGTTTATAACTGGTATCGATAGGCGACGCCATTTGTCTATATCCAAGTACTCTTTTCTTTGTTTTTGATGCGATCCCTATCAATTATCGATCTGTTTACATCTGTGACGGTTGTACTCTCTGTTTTCTGTGCAATTAGGTATAACCAAAGATACAAAGACGTTTATTTATTTATTTTTTTTTTGTTTCATTAGTATTATTATAATTTGTTAAGTGATTTGATTTGTTGATCGGTCTGATCGACAGCGTGTGACCCGATTTTTTCGTTTGTCACCGTGATTTGTGGACCCATTTATCCTTTCACGTTACTATGTCCTCGTTTGCCTTTGTTTTGGGTAGCAGTATGCTCTCCTCTATCTTTGTAACTGGTCATGACAGGTGTGTTTCTCAAGCGTCTCATCTAGTCTCTTAAGTATAATAAATTAATATTCCCACCTTATTATTGTTATAATAATAATAGTAATTATAATCAGAGTAATTAATATTGTTATTAATTGTTATCGTTGTTGTTATTATGTTAAACACTTTTATTTCTCAACATATGAATTTTCTATACTTTTATATGCTTTATTATACTTATAAATATTTCTAAATATATATAGTTGTATATTTGTAGATATTTTATTATCTTTAAAAAAATATTGCAATGATATTAATTTTTTTTTTTATGATGTTTTTGTCCCCAGAACTCTACAGTGTTAATCTTCTCCTGTAAAACCAGATTTTATTTATAGTCAAAGACTATAGAGTTTCTTTTTAACTGAAATATATCGTCTTAAAATTATTCGAGAAACACTATGAATCATAGAATATGTTTTCATTTTTTCTTACACTGTATTTAGATAAAAATCGCGATCAGTTGGATATTTTCAGTAATTGCAAAATTAAAATACCCGAAGCAAGTTATTATATTTTGACCCTTTTGATAATTCTAGTCTCTATATGGGGATCATTTTTCTTCTCAATTTTATATTCCAGAACGGATACAAAGACTGGAATAAATATCGAATGATATAAAATCCTTTGTGCCCAGTTTCGCGATAAATTATGTGAATTTCACGTTACATATTGATCCTCATTTTCCAAACAGACAACTGTATCTTTGCTCGGAACGTAGCAGAATCGAAGTAATTGGTCTGTGTATTTTATTTTTCCGTGTACACAACGCGTTTGCTTTTATTTGAACGTGGATGACGCAAATGGATGAAAATACGCTCCCGTGACGCATGAACTTTATTTTTTTATCGGTGTATAATCTCGAAAAATGTGTTTGCTAGGATGAAGCAGTTGGAAATTCAGTATCATCGAACACGTATATCGATCGATACTGTTGTTTGAGGAAATAAAATTTTACAGTAGTAACTCTGCTGCGTATCGTTGTACAGGTATATTTCGAAGTGCAAATATTTTTGTGTTCCTGAAACGTTTGAAGCCCGGTAAATTACCATTTTGCGTCTCCTAACTCTAACTAACAGGTCACATGAACACAATCGAAACTACAAAAATTGATACACCTTATTCTTTGACCAAAAATTAGTACAATATGAACACTTTATTATTTGACCAGAAATTGATACAACTTGAACGCCATAATTCTTTACCAAAAATTGTTTATTACTTACATCAAACTTAAATACAAAATATTAATAATATTACGATGATATAATCTATATCATAGCAAATATCCATATAAATATATAAATATATCTATTTAAATATACTAATTATACTAAACTATACTAAATATACTACACTATAAAACCCACTTATAACTATAAGCTTAAGTCTCATATAAAGCTAGAAGTATAATGATTCATATTTCTTTGGGTTGTGTTTGTTACTAAAAATTGCTGTGTCTCCTTATTTTGTGTGGTTTATTTTATTTTATTTTCAACTATAGCGTAATTTCAAAATTTCAAAAAATTGTGTAGAAAGATAATGGACGCCTATTTCTTGTAATTTTCTTTACACGAATAAAAGTTCAGTTTATTTTATTACTATAATCGAATTTTAAGTGTTCATTCTTTAATTTTTTAACTTTGAACTCCTATAAGCAATTAATGAAGCTGAACAAAATGATCTTAATTTGATGTCAAACTAGACTTAAGTTTATTTATCTTTAACAGAACTTTAGTAGTTAAAATTGATTAGAAATTTCATTATGCATGTCCAAGAGAGTATATTACTAACCTTTTTTGTTCTTTTCGTTTGTTACAGAACTCGAACAATCAAGTGGCGCTTCCTGGACAGAACCAGGTGGCCCAGACGCAAGCAGAGACCCAAGGGGGCCCCAATACCGTACTCAGAGTCATCGTCGAACAGATGATTTACCAAATTTCCTTGGACGTGCTCTATCAGGTGAGTTACGACTTGTATTTCGCCAGCTATCGACTAATTCCTCGTTAGCTATGACACAAACCGATGATTAGTCGCATTTTGCTGCTTATGGATGCCGAAGTTCGGTAATTTGCAGGTTCCACAGGTCATTGGTGGTCTCTTGACCTGTTTTGTGAAGAATTCGCTAATTATTGGAATGAGAACTATTAGTTAAATAGGATTTGATTGCTTTTCTAGTATAAATTATGAATCTTTGGTAAATAGTATAATGGATTGAAAATGGATCGAAAAATCAATTAATTAAAATTATGGTTATTTTAGATTTTATTAAAAGAGTATTATTTTCTTGCGTTATCGATTCAATTTTTAGCTTGGAACTAGGAAAATAATTCTCGTATCCATAATAAATTCAGAAATGGTTAAAATTATTATTATTATTAATAAATTATTAAATGTGAACGTTAAAAATTACACTATAGAAATTGTTTTACTTGTAATATTGATAAAATATATTCTTGACGAGACAAGTCACACGAATTATCGATGTTAAGAAAATAAAATAAATTTATACTCAACAAAATATCAGAAAACAAATTGAAATAATTGCAGAAAGGTTTATTACGATACACCAAATAATTTTCACATGAATACATCATCTGCGCATCACGAACTATTCACTTTCGAAGAATTCGAAAAATCAATATCGCACAGAATTCGAAAAAATATTTTTACGATATTTCAGAAAACCTGCCAGGAATGTCCCTATCAATTCTTGTGAAGAACAAAAGCAAGGCAGCAAAACAAAGCAAAGCATTCCAAATTTCAAATTAGATCATACATCGAAATCATTTACCGTACATAGAATTCGAAAATTTCAATCATTTCCACTCGAGAGAATTTCAGAACCTACTTCACAACATATTTATCAAACAATCCTGAAAATGGGAAATCGAGCAGAATGCACATTCCAGATTTCGGGTTACACCGCACAACGCAGACTATTCCCCTTCAAAGAATTCGAAAGAGGGTGGACGAACGTCCGCGCGAAATTTATTCGACAACAAGGGGTGCACGGGCATCGTGCGCGGTAAAAACGGTCGAAATCGTCGGGAATAATGCAGGAGATGGGAAATTAATCGGATTTCGCGGCGTATCCGGCGAATTCGATTCCCGATTAATCGGATATTTTCTTCTTTCGCTGGTTCGCGCGCGGATTACGATGGGAAAGGGCCGTGGCATATTTCGTCCGTCGATCTCGCTAGATTTTTCGCCTCGTTTTCGTTAATGGAATATTAAACAATCCGCGTTGGCCGGCGAAACGTTTACCGTTTCGCTCGAAATCGTTCGACTTCCGATTTTCCACCATTTCGAGGCTCGTTTGCCTCGTTTAAAATCGATAATTTTATTGCCAGTTGAGTTTATTGTTGTTTGATAAACATTTCGTGAGTTATTCGCGTGAATTTACGGATTAACGAATGGGAAAGTGATAGGTTAGGTAGTATACGGTCAGGCGCTATTTTCTTGAGTGGCGTTGCAAAATGGCGGCCAGGCTTACAATCAGAACGATCGGTAATGTAGAGTGTGATCGTACCATCGAAATATATTTGATTTAGCGAAGATTATTTTTCATTCTGTCGATTAGTTTCTTCTCTACGAGTGTAACGTTACTATAGTTCAAGATAATAGCACAGCCTGTAATTTTCAGTGTTCCTTGTAATTAATTCAATGTATGCATATATTACATATGTACTCACATGATGTATCTCGTTCCTAATAATACTGAAAAATATTTACCACAGCTAACATTTCTTTCTACAAATTTTACTTTTTTATGTGAAAAATGGCTGTCATAAAATGATAACACAGGTACCAAAAAAGCAGATCAACGAGATTTTGTTTTTTGAATGTGGAAAAGCTTTTTATATATTCTTATGTGAGGAATTCGAATCTGGAAACAAGAACTGCTTACCATCTTATGTTTATGAAATAAGTAAACAAAAATTAACGATTTTTGCTACTTTTACGAAAATATTCCGAAGATAGTAATTTTCTTCCAAAATTTTTATCAACTGCTTTGTATAGTACTAACCTTTCCCTGTAAAATCAAATCTGATTTACAATCAAACGATCTTCTTTTGCCGTGATATATCACACTGATTCGAAAAACACTGGAAATTATAGTGTGCTGTGATTTTATCGTCTACTGTATTTATTAGTTCTAGTAGAATTATTTTTTACGTTATATAAAAATAATTGAAATCAATCATAATGAGGCATTAAAGTACTTTGTCTCTTATATAAGAACTAAAATATATCTATCATACAAAATTTTTAAATTAAAAAAATATATTGGTATATTTCACCATTAGTATATCTCATTTAAATTGTGGAAATATATTGGTACATTGGTATATTCCGTACCAAAAAAATTCGTACAGTTAAAAGTGGGATTTATAATAAATAAGCAACAATTATTTAAGTCTCTAAAGTTGCATTCCTAAACTGAAAAAAATAATTTTTTAACGTATAAATAAGTCTGCATCCTTTTAGTAAATTAAAATGTTAACTAGAGGAATGAGATACAGATGAAATATTTTAAAAAATATTTTTTAAATGTATGAACCAGAGTCCTGAGATACAAAGTTATGAAAGCATGTTACGAGTATAGGATTTCGTTCAAAATATTCCGAATTTCATGCAGCCAAACGTGAAAAAGTTCGTAACAAATAGGTTACTCTTTTAGGGCTTTCCCTCCCATAACTTAATTTATAACTTTCACGAATTCATACCATTCTCTACAATAAATTCTGTATTCTGCCCAAAGGAAGAAATAGTTCATTCTTTTCCATTTTCAATTTTTCTTTATCCAATTATTATTCGATATTACTCACAATTTTCTAATCCACTATTAATTCCTGCTAATATCTTTAAAAATTCTGAATCTCTTACTAATATCATTAAAATTAACTAGTTTATTTCAAAAATAATTTCCTATTTTTCCTTCGTTGGTTACATTAAATAATACATACAGCATGCTAATTCCTCATTCCGTATAACCCATCAATGGTATCATATATTGTAAATTTATATCACAATCATATACCTATTATGAAGTTACAATCTGTCACAAATTCCGTAAGATTTCTTCCAAAATACAAGAAACACAAAATTGGTCGACAACACCAATCGATGAACACAATAAAACGATAGTCTACTACAAAACGTTTATTACACAACTATACACTGCACTGAACACTGGTCTATCCACACGTACACGACACACATGGTCAGCTGCAGAGCAGAATTATTCGTATCATAGAAGTAGAACCGATAGACTATTTTATTACACAACTATACACTGCACTGAACACTGGTCTATCCACATGTACACGACACACATGGTCAGCTGCAGAGCAGAATTATTCGTATCATAGAAGTAGAACCGATAGCACAGGTCGTCCTTTGGAGTCGATTGCAATTCGACATATAATGCTCCCGGCGAAAACAGGATTGATTGGCATAATGCAAAGTCATGGAAACACGCAATTGCGTGGAGCGCGATCGCGTCACACGGTTCGTCGCACGAATTTTGCATTACGAATTCGTAATAAGGAAACGGGGCCCGGACGGATTACATATTTACGGAATTACGAATAGCAATTAACGGTGCGTGGGAATTATGCAACCGCGTTGTTATTGAATTAATTCGCCTGTTTCGGGGCACAGAAGCCGATTCTCGTGGACGATTAATCACGTTGCGCGATGCTCGATTAACGACTCCATTTAAATTACCGCTGGATTATCCTGATTATTATCCTGGAGATTCGAAAGGTATCGCGACGTTGCTAATAATTTTCCGAAGTTTCCTTCGTCGAGGTTAGAGGTACGTGGAGTAAGGAGTGCGCGTGTAAATGAATGAAATACGCGTATTCTAATTGATTCCCCTAAATAACCATCTCCCTCTCCGTTCATTCCCAAAAACTGAGTGTCCCGAGTCAATGGAAGCTTGTTTTAATTCTTTATTACCAGCGTCCCAAGGTGCAATAAATTATCCCGTTCAACGAATGTTCCGTCCCGGAGAGCGTGTTTATAACATGATTTTTATTCTAAGACTTACACTTTTAACAGACCTAACGGTTTACAATATATTTTATATCGCGACTGCAATTCCGGAGGATAGATGTGCCTCACCGCCGTTCTAGCGGATTAAGTTGTAAAGGTAAAGGCGAAAGTTCAGGAATTTTTACAAGTACCAGACTCGACAGATGGGACCCACGTGTGACAGACCCAACGAGCGACGGACGGACACCACTTGTAAATCACGTCATTGACCATCAAAAATCGGCTCCTTGACAGTTTCCTACTCCTTAGCCAAAGGTCCTTCCGTCACACCCTCTGTCCAATTAAAACTCCTTACTTTTCCACCACCAACGTTTATTTTGCCCAATCAGAACTAAACTGAAGAAAACACCGGACAGGACACGACGAGACACGACATAGATCAAATTCGAGAAATCGGTTCGTCTTCGACACCGATCCTTGAAACATCTTACTTACACGTATAAACGCGTGTTCGAAACGGTACTCCGTTCAACGTCTCCGTTATAACTATTCTATACTTTTCTATAAATAAACGCTCTCTTTTATCAACACACACTTCGGGATCCTTATTATTACAACTAGTCACGCAATATTAATTTGGCGCGTGATAAGCGTTCTAGGACATCGAAGGGATTCGATAAATAGGACGCTACAACGAGGAAAGGCAGAAAATATAAACAAAAGGATCACGTGGTCAGTACTATAGTTGCAGCTCTATAGTTGCCGAACGTCGATTTTCAGGGACGAATAACGAGGAACCCTTGTGAAAGACCCTTGCATACGAGAGTCTAGCTTCTTCCCTTATGTACAATGCAACTGATAGTATTGGTTTTAATCATTTACCATACTCGATACCTTTAACAATTTTTGTCGTGTGTCCAAATTTACTCATCAGTGCATATCCCTCATAATAAGAATCA